CCTACTACTACTACTACTACTACTACTACTACTACTACTACTACTACTACTACTACTACTACTACTACTACTACTACTACTACTACTACTACTACTACTACTACTACTACTACTACTACTACCACTACTACTACTACTACTACTATCAGCTATACTGAAAGCTGTAGGTGCCGTCAGTCTCTATTGCAGTCGGCGACAGAATGCAGCTTAGTGGTATGAGACTATCTACTAACTCTACCGGGGACGTGTGAAAATGCTTAGTGTCCAGAGGTAATCTGGTGTTACATCGGCAGGTCGGACCACTATGCTTGGCTGACGAGTATTCAAAGCAGGCATTTACGCCGAAAATAAGGTTGGAGCCGACAAATCTTGTTCATACGATTTAATTCCTGGTTGTCTATAGTAGAGTAGGAATAGGTAACGGGTTTTGTAGGGATGAGGGTGTGGAGACCAATCCCCAAAGCTCAGATGGGGACGTTTGAGTAGGCAAGCATTCAGATATTTGGTGAAAAACTCCCGAGCAGGGATTACGCGTAGGCCTCTTAAGTATCGGCTTCATTGTAAAGTTTCGAACTTACTGTCTCTTACGCGTCGCTGTCTAATTCAAAAAGGGGTTGGAAAGGGGCGGAGGGCCAAAAAATAAAATTGTTAGCAACCATGTGTCGGAGGCGCGAGAGAGGGGTTGAGGAAAGAGGACATTGGCAGTAGCCTTACCTGCAGACCCCGATTTTTCCGGCTTCTAGGAGATGGAGAGCACTTACAACAGTTGCCAGGGCCTCAAATGTCATCTGAAGTAAAGTATCCAAGATGAGAGTGAGGTGAGTTTGTAGGCAAACATAAAGAAGTACAGGTCAAAAGAGCAAACAGAACAACAGAAGACACCTTCAAAATTCAGAAGCTGAAATAGGTGAAATCTGGAATGAAAAAAGTCATGCAAGGGACGTCGCCTTGTTGTTAACGACCCTGCCGATTAAATTTGACGATTATACTCGGGAAAAATCCGCTGGTTTCAGGCCAGACCACTTTGAGTGTCCTTGTCTACGTATGCCACCCCTGTGATTTCAGTCTATGTTGCAGCAAGGGGTTCGGCACAGACTAAATACTAGACTAGTCAAAGCGTCCCACAATCCTGTCAAGCTACTGAAGAAGTAGACTCCGGGTAATATATTGATAGTACTTTCGATGAAATTACTACGCAATCTTTTTTTTTGGGGGGGGGGAGATGAGCACTTCAGTTCTTCCGTTAGCTTGTCATATATGCCATCCCAAAATGAAACAATTTACCGATTAGGGGAGGCATTACCTTTTTGTTACTGTATCTCCCTAGTGCTCAGATTGCGCACTAGGGACCTCATTTTAGTCGACCAGAGAACGGCAGCCGTCAGGTAAGTAAACGATAAAAAATGGATGGAAGGCGAACGAACAGCGTACCTGTCGACACAAGTTGTCCGCCATCGAGGACGAATCGTCAACCGCGATGAGGATACGGTAGTCGCGCTGATTAGGCTGTGTTCTACGCATCCAGATTTTGTCCTTGCGGAAGTGACTTGCAAGATAGGGTATGATCTGTGAATGCGGAAAGGCAGAATTTCATGCGCGGATTAAAGGCGCAGAGAGCATAACCGGCGGGGAGTGGGCGGCTTGGATGACGGAATGGGAAAACTAACCTTGCGCATGTTCAGTCGCTTGCCAGTTCTGAAGTCGCCCTTCATGCGGGAGGCGTGCGTCGGCTCCAGAACCAGTCGGAGGGCTTCACACAGCTGCACCGAAGAAAGGGAGGAGCGAGAAAGGCAAGCATGCCAGTCGAGAGCCGAGGACGCAAGAGCCTCTGCGTCAATGTGAGTTGTGCGGGCCTGAGGCTGGAGTGATGGCAGGGGCTCCACCACCTCGGGCAGATCCAAGGTCTAAAGGGAGCGCACAAAGTACGGCAAATGCATATAAACTCATAACAAACTCTAGCGCGAAAACGATAGTACAACCGTCCTAAATGAGTAGGAGGCCCCTTAGCGATGACTAGGGAATAGGCGTTGCTCACAGGCCCGACTCAACAATCCACCGGCAAGTGATGCGGCCAAAAGACCCGATCCCTAAGCAGATGTCGGCCGTTGTCTACCGACTTCAGTGTAGCTGCGGAATTTGAAACTACGTTGGGGAAACCGGCCGACGACTGCAAACGCGCATACACGAGCACAAGTTGGCCGTGCGAAGGTTGGACCCAAAGTCGGAGGTAGCAACCCATGCCGCGCAAATGGCCCACACCTTCAGCTTTGACGCCGTTAAGACTGTGGGCCGGGGTGATGATCATACGGCAAGGCAGGTACACGAAGCCTGGATGTCTGCCGACTGCTCTGTCAACCGCCACACCAATTTGCCTCCCCCCATCTGGTTTCAACGGACATTCTTGACGGGGGCAGTCACGGCGCGGGCCAATTGGCGCCGTCAACTGTATCCGCGGCCGACGAGGGGGAGGGCAATTCGGGTCACGGTGACATGCGGGTCGAATGCAGTCACACAGGGGCATTCGTTGGCCAGGCATCAAACAAAGTGCGCCATTATAAGGCAAGCTGTGTGCAAGACTTCCCAGTCTCTGAAGATGGGTAGAAAAAACGACTACTCGAAACGTCAGACCTCCAATAGACCTCTCCCGGTGAACGCCTCCTTTTCTTTTGAAGTGACTAGAGTACAAACATGCAACTTTGAAGCAAATTTCGCTGTGCCCATTTCACTACCTCCTCACTACCTAGTGTGTGCGGACAGCAGTGCAAAGTCAAGACGACCGAAGGTGCGTGCTGCAAAATGCCTTCTAAAGTTGTGAGTGTGTCATGTACGGCTTAACATAAAAGACGCAGAGGCCTAAATGGCAGTCCTCGGGCACGAGAAAAACCTATGCATCTTTGACCGAAAGGCTCGTGTAGGGCCTGAATGTCCGAAGACAGGATAGGCGGGTCGTTTTTAGTGACTCACAACATTGCTGCTCCGAGTGTTTTATAATGTATTCGCAGGTGCCGCTCAGACGGGCCCCGCGGTAGATGCATTGTAACAACACGAAGTCTGGCAGGCGTTATCGAGAATACGCACCCCTGACAAATGTCAACATTCGGTGTGCGGTGGCAGGCACACGCTGCGCCGATTGAGATTCCTGTCGTCTCCCATATTTGTTGTTTAAAATCCGGATTAAGTGTTTGCTTTGGACCAAGGGGTTTGGTGGTGCGCCTAGGTGCGGATTTACGAGGTGCCGGCCACTTGCGGCGTCCGCTCTTCTTGACTTGGTCATGACACCGGATCCGGGTGGGCGAGGTAGGGGCGCTGTAGATGCTACGCAAGTCACCGCTCTTGCTCCCACCCTGCCGTGGAGCACACGGTGGACATCGTTAAAGTCGACAGTCATTCGTAGGTGGCTGACCAGACCGATGCGTGCATCGAGGGCGGGGTCACAGTGGGACCTGTTGGCACTGTAACAGTACTGCTAGCCGTGAGTTACTGTGGATTCCTTTTGTCCTGGCAGCTCACCTATTGCGGTGGGTGAAGAATGCTTGATCAGGACAAAACAGAACTGGAACGTGATATACTAACAGGTGAGGGGGGTCTCCAGAGATGATACCCGTGGTGGTGTGGAAAGTGGGTTGGTCTCGGTGACATTGCAGTTGGTCCGAAAATATGCAGTCTGTGAATTCGGTATAAATTTACAATGCGGACACGTAGGCAAGCATTGGGTGCTGACAGCGGTGCGTCAAGCCCACTATTTCCTACAAGGCCTTCCCACGTTCCGTAGGTAAGTTGTCGGGAAGGGTAGTTGAATGCTTTTGTATCGTACCTATCACTCTCTTTGCCTGCGAGCACCCACTATTATGTTGCCGCAGCAGACTATTCGTTGCGGAGGCGTCCGGCAGCCATCTTCACGGCGCTGTCGCTCTTACAGCTGCACCTGCTACAGCATAGCGGATATGCCCAACACGTCCGTTATTTCCACAATCTCAGTGCTCGGGATCGCGTCTACCCACTTCAACCTCAGTTTCCTACAAGGGCAACTTGGGTGAGAGTGGTTGGATTTTTTGCTTGGCTTCTATTTAAGGCTTACGTGGTCGTCCCGCACAGGAGCGTAGGCAGGTCGACATTTCTGCACGTCTTCAGTTTCTTGTTGGGGAGCATGTCGTGACAATCCTGGACCGACTCTTGTAGTCTGCCAAAGATCTGGCTAACGTTGCGATTCCGTCCTCGATTTCAGTGTGCTTTTAGATATTACTCAAAAGGTTTGCGATCGTGTCTACAGTTTTGAGACGAGCCCCATTGACACGCGCTATGGAATCGTTATAGCGATCAAATAATGCCGGCTGGCATATATATTAGTGCTGTCTTCTCCATGTTAATGGTCGGTCTGAAGTTCAAGCAAACGGTAGAAAACAGGCCCACGCTTCGCTGCGTGCCCGCTTCAGATGAGGGCAGAATAACTGTCCTACGTCCGCCTTAATGGCAAAGGCGACTCCAGCGTCACCTCGCTCCTCCGTACGTTTGCTCGAACGAAAGCTGTACCACCTCCACCTACTTCATTCGGTTGCTGTTGCTGGAGGAGTGGGCCTCACCGAGAGACGCGATGTCCACTTGTGGAGAGCCAATCAGGGCTGTCCGCCATTCTGGTTCGTTAGCCAATGAGCTATCAAAAGGGAGACGAACACCTCAGGCTGCCAATATGAGCAGTTAGTATGACAGGCTCTGAGGCAAAGGACGGAGTGTGCCGAGGTGTCAGATTAACTTGCATTTAACAGTTTGGCCGCTTTTCCCTAAATGTGCCAGTTGTTTTAACGTAACCGAGACGGACACGCGTTATATGATCAGGTCGTCGGCTTGCCGAATATTACCTGTTCTGTCATTCGCAATCAGGCTGGTGGACATCACTAATGGGATCGCATTCGTAATATTATCCGCTGAGTCGTGAGTACAACGTGCTCAACAGGAGGATTTGGCGTCATTGCGCCATGGCCAGCATTTTAGGGCATCTTTTTCAGTATCTTACTCTGCGAGTGGGTATGCACTGTTCCTGGGCGGTGGCCGAATAACACTGCGGGTCACAATCTCGATGTAGTGCGAAGGCGACGCAAACTAGCTAGAGCTAGCTATGTGTCATCCCCTCCGTTTTGGAGAATCAGGGAAGGGATTGTTAGCTGTGGGACACGCAAATACTGAACAACCCTGATCTGATTCAGCCCATCTGTCAAGGATAGCAGGGGTATGACCGCTCTGCAGAGTACAACTTTATGCAGCCGTAGATGGGAGCTGGGTGTCAGGGCGGGGAAGTGGACGTATCCAGAAAGTCCATAACACACACGCATATGCATAAGTGATGTGTGGTAGTGCAGATGCGCGAGGCAAGGTAGAATTCAGTAGAAAGTGAACTTACATTCAAGAAATGCTTCGACTCAGGCGGCCTTTGAGCACCCAGCGTCTGCCTTAACTCCATATCTGGTTTTGGCAGCGTCCGTACATCAGCACCTGGGGCTGCTGAGCTATCATTTTCACGCTGCTGATTGGACAGTCCCGAGTCGCTGAATGACGGTGGGAGGGGCTTCCAAAGGAAATAAAATAAACAACGTACGATTAAATTTGCATGAACATAGCATGTCCTACGCTAATTATAAGACATGATCAAAAAATGCTGCAAAGGAAACCGCATATTCCCCCTTACTTTGATCATCGGTTCCTCCTCAGGTACTTGACGTGGCAGAACGGATTCGGTATCGAGTCCAGGTGTTGTTGGCTGTTCCGCCTCGGGGGAGGCAATGGACGGTTCGCCGCCAGCGGCTTCTTTCTGCGCGTCGGTTGCAGCATCAAAGGCAGTCATGGCTGTGCTGCTATCCGGTTCCTCAATGTGCTGGACAGCATCTGTGCTTTCAACGCCAGCCTCCTTCTCCTGTGTGTCAGTTGAAGATGCTTCGAGGATGTCAGGCTGCGAAAGGAATAAGCACAGAGGAAAATGGTTTTAGGACAAAGATCATCATGATTAGAACTGGTATCTACCATGTGCGCAGTTCTTCATCGTGGAATGGATGCAGGGAGATAAGGCTGTTCCATTGACAAAGGGTTCAAAGCAATGATGCAATCCGCATACATTAAGTGAATACTCAAGTGTATAATTTCAGAAATTACTCAGTGCACGACTCGGAGTTACTGTCCGGGACATGACTTTTTAGGGTCAGAACCGAAATTTCAATCAACATTCGAGTCGAAGACAATCAACTAATGTGGAATAACCACGTAATGCCCATTCTACAAACAAGTAGTACTACGAGTAGTATGAATTCCATATGGTAAAGGTATTATACTGTACTCCCGACACAGATACTTGCTAAAAGCCCAGACATGTGTTTTGCTGATTTAGTGAATACGTGCACGAAAACTGGACGGTGGAATCTTTCTGGCGTGAAATGGAGGTTGGGAGTTTAGATCAGTCGCTCAGAATGTATTTTTGTCGGTCACATAAGGTCATTTGTGTGTACAAGAGAATATGCATCTTAATAAGCGTCCAGTGAGTGCCAAAACTTAAGAATCCCGGATGCAGTGTTGCATAAAAAAAGACATTATGAAGGCTCATATAGGTACCATAGTTGAAGTAATGTGGGCTGTCAGATGAGTTTGCACAGTAAGTACGGGAGGAAATGAAAAAGACATGCATTCTACCTGAAAGGATCACAGTAAGCGTATGGCAGTGGTCAGCAAGAAAAAAAGCTTTATCTCTACTCATGCACGACAGAATTTGGATGCAAGTCTTTTCATACAATTATATGCGTCATGGCGTACAAACTTTGGGTGGTCGAGAAACGGAAAAATCGAATAGTTAGGAGAGCAGGAGGGCGCCGGTAGTGTACAAAGTCATCACTGACGCTGACAGAGCTCTTGACTCTGAAGGAAGCTTTATGTACATACTGCATGCATACTTTAGAAGCTTTGGTTTAACTGTAAGTGCTCCTGGTTGACTGAAATAGGTTCACCAAATTCCCAGACCGACGAAAAACATGTTCACTAGGACTCTAAAGAGATAGGGCCAGACGCGAATTCAGGCAGGTTTCGAGGACGCGTAACAGAGAACCAAAAAACAGGCAAACGAATAATTTCGGGGATCTATGAAAACGAGTAATTGTCCGTAAAGTGTCTGATAATGGATTTTCTTCATGGTGTAAAACCCCATAAGGAGAAGCATTCTGGGGCAGTTCACAGTCAGTATCAAGGCATTTCGATTCGATTGGAAGAGGGTCCGAAGAAGCTCAGGAGTTCACTGCACGACCACATGCACCAGACGACAAAAGCGCGACTGGTTAGGAAATTTGTGGAGGATTCGGTAGAATGCATTTGGCCAAACACAGAAACAGGAATGAGTCCTAAAAGCAAGGAGACCCTGCCCAGAAAGAAAGAACCGTTGAGATGTGAGGTAGGGGGAGGTAAGTAGGAGTATACAAAGGAACTGACCTTCTTGCAAAGTTTTGCTTGACTGACAGCGTCTCCAGCAGTTGTTCGACGCTCTGAGGTGGGACGAGGACCCTGGTTGCGCTGGTGGATAGATTTCTGGCTGTACGACTCATCTGATTGCGGATTTGGCGATGTAGAGGCTCGTGCGCCGATCGAGAAGCTGTCCTCGAGGCCACGAACGGCGGAGCCAGCACTAGCACCTTCCACTGGAGGCATGTTATCGCTCATGGCCTGGTTTGGCGCTGGTAAATCCATTTTCGCTGTTGGATCCTGATGCTGAGGCTGGAACAGAAGAATAGAATTGCGGAGTGGGGCAGACACGGACCTATCGGAGCCGATGTACTCAATAAAGGGAATACATTCTACGGTATCTTTGGGTTGGGGAACGATTGGAGAACATAAAAGATAATTTGCTAAGCGACACGAAACGGTCGAAGATGTAGTTATATGAGAGCCTGGATGAGCGCAAAGAAGGAAGGCTTAGAATTTAATTGAGAGGGACACGCGGTTACCCTAGGCCGTAACCAGTTTCTAGGGGGCAAAAGCATGGTATTTGACACGCAACAACCACCAGAAAGACTAGGAAACCATCAAGGAACGCGGGGTGTTTTGTGGTCCAACCAATAAGCCTATCACGACTGCGACTGAAAATAATGGGTAGCAGACTATGAGGCAGAGGAAAATCGCTGTTCACAACGATGATGAGGGGAGGGAGATAAAAATAAGTTAGGTCCCAAGGCCAGGGGATGAGGTGTGATTAACTTAAACGAGAGGGCCAGAAAAAGTAATTTTAGCGTCCCTGGTTCTTTTCAGTAATACTTACAGATTACCAATGCACTTCGTCGTGCAATTGTCCGCAAGAACTCTACGACAAACTGAAAGACAAGTAGGTTGCCTTTTTTGTGGTCAGAATAAATTGGTGGATTTTAATCTCATGAGACCAAGCATTCGTTTAACGCAAGGCTACAAAGAATGGGTCGATAGCTCAATCTGGCCAACTCATGGTTCGTAGCACTGTAGTTGTGAAGTGTGACTTCACGGTTTCCTGTAGCACCCGAATTTAGAGATAGACGGTCAACATGGGCCACACTAGCACACCCGTTTAAGATTCTGAAGTTGCGAGGGAGGGAGATGGGGGAGGCGTTGATCTATGGCGGGCAGTAATCACCGAGTTGGAATACCGTTTTGGCTTCCGACCTTGTTATGTCACGGATTTGACAGTTTAGCACCTGTCGACACCTGACAGCATCACCGCTACTGATTATTCCACAGCTCCGACAGCTACCTATTGTTTAGCCAGCCAGTACTAAAGACCGTTGCACTACCTGCCGACCGTGGATGCGCCGTCCAGCCTACAGGTGGACTGACACGAGGGTTCTGCTTGTTCGGAGTTCAACTGCTGGAACAATTAGCTCCAGAACCAATTGTAGTCGGACCCGAAAGTCGGGTCCTGCCGGCTGATGACGACAAAGGAGCCAGAAATGGCACTCCAGTCTCACCGCACGTAAAATACGGTCAACGGGTCTGCTGGGGTGCTGACAGCCACAGAAAACCTGGATAAGCCATCTTCCTGGTGGTCTGTTGACATAGCACCGGCATAAAAATATTTCTAGCAAAAGTAGGGTAATAGCGTGTGCTTCCTCTCCACCACATCGACTAAACAGAGATTGAGCGTGCAGAGCTGGATACCAATGACCAGATTTAATAATAAAAGCATTCGTTCTCATAAAGGCATATGGAGGAAAAATAACGCTTAACAATTTAGTGACATCATGCAACTTCGAAAGCACCAGCAAAAAGCCCGAGTGGACTGTTCTTGTGGAGAGATGAGTAGATGCACGAAAGGTAATCAGCATAAACTTGAATGCACAAAAGAGTACAGGAGAATTGTGATGGTTTGTATCTCCAAAATCAAACTCACCTCTCCCTGGATGTCCGGCTGATCTAGGGCTGATGACGCCTAGAAGAAAGCAACCAAGAAAGGCGGATGAACACGGACAGCTTAAGTAGGACATAAGATGTGTACGGTGTACAGCCGTTTTTGATTCTGACTTAATGAGAAAAGAAGAAAAACAACTGAGGACAGAGGCTTTTAATGGAGTCGTTCGTCAATCCGACCTGCTGTTGGTAAATGTCTGTGAACGCTAATTTAAACAAATCCAAACCAACAAGGTACTACAGATTGGCTTAGTAAACCCGCAAGGAAGCGATAATGGCAGCTCCAAAGTTCAGAGGGGTACTCACGTGGCCCGAGTTCAGATCGCCAGCGCTGGGTTGGTATGAGGGCAGCTCAACCATCGACTGCGGTCTCTCTTCCTCAACCGCGTCTATTCAAGGAAGAAACGCAAATAAGTAATAGAAGGTGTGTAGGGCCTGTAGATGCACAAATACAATATTAATGTATACTTCTATGTTAAAGAAAAACGTCGGCGAGCTATGTTCACTAGAGCAGACTCAGCATCAGGTCTCATGATTAACGGAACGACCTAACAAACTCATCAATGAAAAGAAGGGTAAAATTAGAGTGTCCTGGCACGTTGTTTTGAGCATTACCAGTACAGTGTTGCTGCGTACAATTTTTGACACGAGCGTAGACGGTATTTTCAATAGGTCAGACAGACAGATAACAATACGACCAGAACAATGTTAAACAGGTGCATCCTTGCCAGAAATTGTCCCCCCCCCATAACGGACCACGCCGGACGAACAAAGGGCGCACATTAGGGTATGATAGGCGTTATTAGGCTGCGTGCTCATAAAAAAGGCCACACAGGGGGGGGGGGGAGAGGCGGGGTGTGGTGACATGCCAGGGCGCAGGCCTAGGCCGCGCCGGTCACCTGCGTCAGCTAGCTAGCTGGCCAGCTCGGACAGTGGACTGGTGGCTGGGAGAGGGAAGAGAGGGGTGCGTTAGCTCGGCCCTCCCCAAGCATGTTGAGTCAGACTGTAATTTCTCCTTAATGTGGCACCTAACACCGCTACGCAGTTCGGATCCTAGCTGTCCTCCTTTTGTTGTGTCTATGAAAATCCCGGCCCATCGTACGAGAATCGGGAGTGTGTGATAGGCGTGGACGGGCTGTCCAGCTTTGTCAGCAATCGTGCCCGATACCCCCTCCCTTCATCCTAAATTCTAACTTGATAACGAGCCCAGTTGGGTGAGGGAGGAGATAACGCGCGAAACTCACCTTCTCGGCACATAGTGGACATCATCGAATTTATTCTGCTAACAAAAAACGGCGATCGGAAGGTAAATCACCCAATTAGGTTCACAAAATGGACCTTAGCAAGCAGAAGGTTCGGGATTAGGCGCACATTCAGGCTAAGGTAGGGAAGCCGACACGTAACCGAATAGATAACGAACCTGTTTCATCTACTTCTAAATCTCCGTCTTTTGCGGTTTCTTTTTCTTCTTCATCAAGATCCATCGCTTGGTTCCTCAAATCGATTTCTTCATCTGGACGATTTGCCTCTACAAATGGTAAACCACAAAGACGGTGGTCAGTCGCATGCGCGAGTAAGAAAATTACTCACAGTATCAACTAATCGACACGGCAGAAAACTTACCATCCAAGTTATCGAATTCAGTTGGATCCGGTTGGAAGTCCTCATTCTCACCAAATTCGACATCATCCAGATCGTTGGGTTCCGTCTCGTTTTCCCGTTCTTCCTCTGCCTTCAAACGATCTGCTTCACCTTGAGCAAGCCGTTCCTCATCCTTTTTCATCAAATCAATATCCATTGGCTGGTTCGGGCGTCCCTCATCAGTCTCTTCACTCTGATCCTCCTCTTGCCCAGCAACCGTTTCCTGTCCCGATCCGCTTGCGGCGTCTAATTTCCGTTTCTTCTGCTTCTTCTGCTCATCTGCCTCCGACGACGCTTCATCTCCGTTGTCGGGCTGCTGCTGCTGTTGCTGTTGCTCTTCTCGGTCTTCATCCGCCGAGTTCTCGGCTGCTTCCCCCTCTTCTTTCGCTGTAGACTTTGACTGTTCCGATCTGCCTGCCGGATCTCTGACGCCAGCTGAGGACGACTTTGCGTTTTTACGGTCAGCCGAATCTTCTTGTTCTTCGTCACTCTTCACGTCTTCATCGTCACCCCACATTTCCTTGTCGAGTTGTTCGTCGTCTGACTTCAGATCCTTACCCATCTTCTCATCCAATCCAGGGTCGTCTTCCTCTTTACGCTCACCCTCCTCCTCTTCCCCCTCCAGTGCACCTTCGTTGTCGTCAAAGGCGCCAGCAAAGTCATCCGGCATCTCGATGCCCTGTGCACTGTTCGATTCCTCTGGTTTGGAGTTAGGAACCGGCGGCTCTGTGTCGTTTTGAGTGCCCTCAATTTGCTCTTGAGTTGTCAATTGGTCGCTTACATCTTTGGCGCCAGAGGCATCAACACCCTGGGCCGTCAAACTTGTGCACCCACCATCGCCGCCCTCCGCGGAGGAGTCTTCACCGCCCGCGGTCGACTCCTTGCCACTTTCACCGCCGACTCCGGCTGCTGCAGCAGCTTTTGAGAAGGCAGACGGTTTGCAAAAACCGTCGTTGAGCAGCCTCAGCACCACTCGGGACATGTACTCGCCGACGCTCAGCCAGGCATAAAGCAGAGCCCACCACTGTCTCGAACGAATGCTGACCAGGTAAAGCAGTGACTGAATAAGGGGTGTAACACAGTGCAGGTAGTTGAGAAGAGTAGGCAGAGCGGTGTCAGTACTAGTAGACACCTGGCCAATCAGTCGCCTGAGTTGGCTATTGGTCTGCTGAAGTTTAGGCAGGCAAGCTGAGGCAAGACGGCTAGAGGTGTTGGTGAAGAGACTAATCAGGCCATCGGTGTGCCCATCTGCACCTTCGACGATGTCCAAATTGTGTAGGGTTTGAGCACTCAGCAACGCTGTCCGTATCAAGTCACTGACAAGCGGTTCAAGCGCCGGTTGGGTCGGATCTGGTCCGACCTCTGAGGAATGGAGGAAACAGCTTGATGATGCGATCTCCTCAGCGATCGAATTAGCCACACGCGACAATCCTGTCAGGAGAGTGGCCTCGGTACCCAACGTGTGGTCTGATCCAATGTCTCGGCAACATGTGAGGAGATCTGCTGCGGCAGTAGCAAGTATTTCTTGTTGTGCTTTAATTTCAGCAGTAATCAGACGACAGTGCTTCGGTAATGGCTGGTTCAGCCTACTAGCAATGTCCTCTAGACGACTGCGGTAGGTCATAAGGGTGGCAGAAGGCGTAAGGAGAGCGGGGGGAACTGTCGCCAAAGTGGGTGGGAGGATGTCCTCGTTGTCCGCGAGAAGGGTGATCAGGCCGTCGGAAGGCCTCTCGCTCGTGGATTGGAGCGCAGAACAAGTCTCCCAAAATGTGGTCCATTGAGCGACACATTCAGATGCGAGTTCAGCAACACGCAGACGTGACGCCTTGAAAGGGCAGGTGTAGAGTGTCATAGTAAAAGTTCCAATAAAGTGTGGGGTCAGGGATGTGATAATATGTGAAATGACATTGCGAAGTTTTAAGTAAGACTGTCTATGAGGTAGAGAATCTTCACACGTCCTCTTGGTTAGTCTGCCATGGCTATCAGCCAACGTAGCAAGAATCGTGACTGACAAAAATCTGGGAAAAAAAGTGGATTTCAAATGCACAATACCCCTTTACTACAGCTACAGGCAAGCAAAATTTTGGCGAAGTAAGGACAGTTCGCTACGGCGCACGTAAAAAAATTGTACGACTGAGGGGCTCCTTTTACCTCCTTGGAGGTGCTGAGCAAAAATGGACACTGAATACGGCGCTTCCATAAATATGACATAAGACTAGCGAACAGCTTGATGCCCCCTGACAGTTTAGTATAGTGCGCAAAGGAAATAAGGACCAAATCGTTGTGGGGCGAAAACCCAGACAGTTTAAAAAAGAAGATTTTCCCTAAGCCAATATAGGTGATGCTTAAAAACACGAGAAATTGCATTTAAATCAAATCTGGAATTCAGTATAAAATGCGGCTTTGGGAGTCGCACACACGTTTCTACCCTACCCCTAAAGGAAAGCCTGCGCAAAAAATTCATCGATACACAACGTCCGACTCTGAGGAGTCCGAACAATTAGTTCTGGTATGCCTACATTTCATTAAAAGGCCAAAAATGACTTATTCGACCAGTAGGGCGGAGCACTACACACGTTGGCGTTTGGATGGCTAAGGGGCAACGAAGTACCTTCAGATAACGCAGCGCCTGCATTGAACAGGGTTGGACGTCGGCCGTAGTCGCGTCACCATCGACCAGCGATTGTCGTCGAAGGGTGTCGAGTTCCAAAAGACGAGTTTGCAGTGCCTGAAAAGTGTCCTCCAGTCGTCCCAACGGATCGAGTGCATCAAAACACCGCAGAACGAGATCATCTAGGCAACCAAGGAGGCGTTCCACACCGTCACGGCCGCCCAGATCACGGGCGACATCGGGGCTCTCCGGGTGACGGGGCAGTGCTGAGCGAATAGCCAGCAGTCGACCGAGACATTGGGCAGCTGACGACTGGCTGACACAAAAAGATAATCGTGTGCATGCTCAGGCATAAAGACAGGCAGAAAAGGTGCCAGAGCCTATGGCCAGGCAGTTAGGAATTCGAAACATAAGAGAGAAACGGCGGCCGTTATGCGCCGACTTACAGATTGCTGTGATCGTTTGACTCCTTGTCTGCTGTGTCGCAGTGAGGTTGCGTTTTCCAAAGGTGATCGCTCAGCCGTGCGAACAGTGTTCTACGCGGCTGTTCGAAGAGACTCTGGCGAAGGCCGCGCCTGTAAGACAGTCCGAGGCACACATCTACGTTATCAACTTTGTTGAGCACCGCTGCAGAGAGGCCTTCCTCGCCCTCCTCGGTAAACATATTTAGAAGTAAATCCTCGCTCACCACGTCGTCGGGCTCTAATGAAGTCATCCTACCCAAAAAGAGGTACGGAAGAACATTGGTGTTAGTGGGGGAAATTAAGCAAAAAGGAGTTTTTGAAGGAAGACGGGTGAGATGCACTTACTCACTAACGCCTGAACTTAGACTACGACGACCAGAACAAAGGCGGAACCATTCCACGAGAGCCAACTTCTTGTTTTGCTGAAGAGCAGCGTACCTGCTGCGCCATTCCTTTGCTTTGGCTATATCCTCAGACGAAAGCTTGGAGGCCTCAGCAATAGCCTGTTGAGCAGTAGGTTCTTGAAGGCCCTTTAATAGGACGGCCAGATGTTTGTGAGGGGGTGAGTCAGCATCAAGTTGTTGGGTGGCTCGCGAAAGCTCACGAACACGGGAGCTCCAGTCGTCCAGACAGTCCCGCAGCTGGTTGATCCAGGAGAGGCAGGGCGCGTCTGTTGCCACGTGCGCCGCGTGTTCTGACAACCTGGAGACCAGTTTTGGCAGGCGCCTACAAAGTCAGATAGAAGAACGTGTCAGAGTCAAATACCACCTGGTTTCGGGGAAACAACCAATCAAAGGCAACCTACCTAACATTGTTGGGGAGGGAGGAAGTTGGTAAAAGACGCTGGTGCTGTGATAACCACTGTGCCAACAGAGATGGAGGAAAGACAGATGAGATAGGTCTGGCATTGAGGGCCAGATTGAGGGTTTCAGCCAGAGAAGGAGAGAGGGGTGAATCGATGTTGACGGTGATCGCGGACTCGAAAAAGGGTTTAACCGATTGACGTAGAACAGCCTCCCAGGAGGCCACCTAATATAAAACAAATGCACGTAAAAGCGAGAGAGCAAATCGGCTAGGACAACAAGATATCGGAAACACGGAGGGAGGTAAAATGGATTTGTTAAGCCGACAGACGAGCTTGGTTGGTTTTAAGAACTTAGGTTACTTAGTAGCAACACCGTCTAGAGTTCACTAACTTGACTGAAATTGGAGTCGAATGAGTCAGTGCGGCTTCTTCGTATGCATCTTTGACAATATCGTAAATTTATAATTGTCTGGAATAAAACAACCCAAAGCGGATTTCCCATCCGGAGGAAGATATAGTAGATAATATTAACTACGGACAGCAATACCACAATTAACAACTTCCTTTTAGGTTTCCTTGGTCATCGAACGTACGTTGATATCGTGGTGACTCCAAGCTAACTGAAAATGGCATCCCACACTCCAATACTTGCTGAAACAAAGGATCATGCCCATTCGGGAAGAGCAAAACAGCAAACACGATATGCCGCAAACGTGTTGATCTAAGTTTCCTATTCGGTTTGCATAATCTTTATTTGCGGGTTCAGTGATTGCCTATTTGCCCACCACTCCCCGGATAGACCGGTGCGAATTAAACCCTCTTAGACGGACGGAAATGTCCGCTTTGAAAGGCACCGTTCGTACGTAAGATCACGGTCTTCGGAGTTAAGATTCGAACTTCACAGAATGAAACCTCTAAAACCATACTCAAATCGTAAACTTGGAGGTAGTTTTATGACTATATAGCTAATGTTCTTTATTGTGCTGAATGTGAAGGTACAGAGAGCGGGAGTCATTGCGCTTTCGCGTGCTCGAAAAAAGACAGTGCGAAGTGATGCGGAGATCTATATGAAATTCCTTCCAAGAGACTAGCAGAATTGCGGTGGAATGAATAAGCTAGGTCTGACTGAGTTTGCACTCGCAAACTTCTTTATTTGAGGCTATGGCTTGATGGAACAAGTGGTCAGTCCGACTTACCCTCGTGTTTACAAAAAATTCTAACTTATTAACTAATCATCGCCTAAAAGGCAACCCAAGGTGCTAATGTTCCACGCAGCAACCGAGCTGGGGGCGGTAAATGTCACTCCTTTCCCCAGGACTTTTAATTGTCTCGAGGGCAATCAACAAAGCATGAGCAAGCATGTTCCATGAAGGGAACATCTAACACTGCGACCGACAGAATCCGGGCACAAAATTCAGCGCTTCCGACCTGGGGTTGAAATATCGTTGACTGACAGCAGAGACTAAGCCAGGAATCGTCATTTCAGCCGCTCCTATTTTTGTATGTGGTAGTCCTATATACGGTGCGTGACCGATCTCATGAAATGTTGGCTGAAATGCCGAAATGCCTTTTCGATTAGAATGAATTACTTAAGCGCGGTTGTAATACTGATTATCTTGCGACATGATCCTATAATATTTCGAACTCGGTAGGATGTTAGCTTTTGACTGCACTGCTTTTCCATCGCCTGTAAAAACCGTACTCGGTAAAAAGTGGCTACTTATGTTGCATGCATTTTTCACGCTGATTTTCGGTGGTCTCTCAAATTCAAATATATTTTATAGAAAGCACGAACAAAAAGATGCCTTCTTGCAGTCGTTTGATAGCGAATCACGTCATCTTTATTTTTTATACTCGAAGAAGGAGTATAATTAGCTTTAAAAAAAGTTTCTAATAATGAGATTTTTAAGACCGTGCAATGTCCATTCATACAGCATTGTACCTCTCCGTTTATCCCTGCTCCTCGTGAAATGTACAACATGGTCCGCATCCATTGCAAAATTTTATGGACTCTATAGGGATCTTTTTATAGGCATAGAAGAATATGTGATTTTCTTTAAGCGGAACTCATGCACTTTGTAGACTGAAATCCCTAGGCGCGAATGTGACGGCTAAACAGGCTCCAAATTATTCGGGAATTAGCAAAAATTCTAAAACCTACTTATAAGCCTTCCTCGAGCATAAAAAATAAAGATGAAAAAAATAGGGATAAAAAATAAAGATGACGTGATTCGCTATCAAACGACTGCAAGAAGGCATCTTTTTGTTCGTGCTTTCTATAAAATATATTTGAATTTGCGAGACCATCGAAAATCAGCGTGAAAAATGCATGCAACATAAGTAGCCACTTTTTACCGAGTACGGTTTTGGCAGGCGATGGAAAAGCAGTGCAGTCAAAAGCTAACATCCTACCGAGTCCGAAATATTATAGGATCATGTCGCAAGATAATCAGTATTACAACCGCGCTTAAGTAATTCATTCTAATCGAAAAGGCATTACGGAATTTCAACCAACATTTCATGAGATCGGTCGCGCACTGTAGATCCCAGAATTATTGCGAGCTATTTCATGTTCTCGTCAGTCAGCCATACCTCCCACCAATAACTGCGATAGGGAACAGACTTGTTGGCATGGTCCACAGATAATGCCTGTTCGCAGCCCCTCCCCCACCAGATGTACATGCGTGTTTGCTCCAAGGAAGTCAAACAGGTCGGTGTGCACCCATTTCAGTGTGAGTAGCAGAATCTTCCAAACAACGTTAGGAGACATCGGAGGGAAGAATTACGAAAATGGCAACTCACGTGTTTATGAATGGTCTTCTTACAACGGTCAACTTTCTCCTTCATGGACCAAAATCCTACGTAATCGCCCCATCGCATAATCGCAACGAAATCCTGCGAAAACAGAGTTCACGAATGTCAGGTCGGAAAGTAACTGTAAATTCAGCCAACAATAAATAAAGAACTCACACAGACTTCTTACCTTCATTTCCTTTCGAATAACGCGCTGTTGCTCAAGAAGAGACTTGTTCACATGTGCTACAAACTGTCCATAGAACCACACAACATTGCCTACAATCTGCAGTGACGAGGTTCGTTCTGAAACACAAAGTCAAATGCAGACGAGATAAAGCAGCGTTTCGTGGAAAAGAGTATGGGAGATAAGAGCCCCCAAGGAGGTGTTGCATGGGAAAGACGGAAGTGAACTGAGAAGAAAGGAACTGACCCTCCGGCATGAGACCCGGCCAGATTTTGAGGGCGGAATAAAGAGCGCTCAGAAGGCGCCATCGCGCA